AGAGACCATGGCTCCAGAGGTCAGGGCCACACTCTGCAGATCTCTCCATGGACACTCCAAGTGGCTCCCTTCGCAAGTTGATATGAACCATTCTTGCAACTTGCACACAGTGGGGAACCGGGCTCCATTGCATTACCTTATGCGGATGCAAACCATTCCAGAGTTGGACACGGACTCCTCTTGCCCCTGCTGTTCCTTTGCAAAGTGGATAATAAGGAAAGCTTTGTGTCCCCTGTGTTCCAGGAGTCGTGCAGCATCTGCAGAACGGCCAGCTGCTGAGAGACATCTACCTAAAGAAACACAAGCTCCTGCCGAATGATTGGTCCACAGACCAGCTTTATTTAGAGACCACGGGGAAAAGCCGGACCCTGCAGAGCGGGCTGGCCTTGCTCTATGGCTTTCTCCCAGATTTTGACTGGAAGAAGATTTATTTCAGGCACCAGCCAAGTGCTCTGTTCTGCTCTGGAAGCTGCTACTGCCCAGTGAGAAACCAGTACCTGGAGAAGGAGCAGCGTCGTCAGTACCTCTTGCGTCTGAAAAACAGCCAGCTGGAGAGGACCTACGGGGAGATGGCCAGGATCGTGGACGTCCCAACCAAGCAGCTCCGGGCGGCCAACCCCATAGACTCCATGCTCTGCCACTTCTGCCATAACGTCAGCTTCCCTTGCACCAGGAATGGCTGTGTCGCTATGGAGCACTTCAAGGTGATCAAGACACATCAGATAGAGGATGAGAGGGAGAGGCGGGAGAAGAAGCTGTACCTCGGGTACTCACTCCTGGGCGCCCACCCAATCCTGAACCAGACCGTCGGTCGGATGCAGCGTGCCACCGAGGGCAGGAAAGAAGAGGTCTTTGCCCTCTACTCTGCTCATGATGTCACTCTGTCCCCAGTCCTCAGTGCCTTGGGCCTTTCGGAAGCCAGGTTCCCAAGGTTTGCGGCCAGGCTGATCTTCGAGCTTTGGCAAGACAGGGAAAAGCCCAGCGAGCATGCCGTCCGGATTCTGTACAATGGTGTCGACGTCACATTCCACACCTCATTCTGCCAGGACCACCACAAGCGTTCTCCCAAGCCCATGTGCCCCCTCGAAAATTTAGTTCGCTTTGTCAAAAGGGACATGTTTGTGGCCCTGGGAAGCAGTCGTACAAATTATTATGATGCATGTCACAGGGAAGGATTCTAAAAGGTCCGCAGCACGGCAGTGTAGAATCTTTGCCAGTACAGAGAGTGGGGAAAGATCCACTTCTAGTTCTATCTGTTGCTAAGGGTATATGATGATTGATTTTTTTAAAGGCTAAACACTGTGTTTGGGAGCCACGTGGATGGTTTGGGTGGAACAGCAAGCATGTTGCTATATTCTGGTACATGAATTGCTTGGTACAAGATGGCTAGTTTACAGAGAAAA